GGGTGGTTATACTTGTCGGGGGGCGTGGCTGAGGCCCTGAGCCCCCACCCTTGGGACTGGTTGCCGGTGTCGGGGGGCATGGCTGAGGCCCCTGGCCATCCTCACTGTCTGGCTTGGTAGCCCAGGGACCTCTGTTCTTCTAGGTGTTATGTGTTCTTTGGTGAAATGAGACCTTTACTAGTTAATATCAAACTTTGTCTCTGGTTGTGGGTACTTTGTTTTTTCTTTCAGTTCTGTGTTGGATTATTTGCTGTTCCCACCACTTAAACTATGTGCTGGAACTAATTTGTTGTCCTTTGCTTACTTCTAAAATGGGGGAACTTTCTTTGGGGACCAGTACTTGAGCTCTATGGTTGAGCTAAATTGCTGCTTTGCAGCTGATTCCCTGGGGAAGGCTTTTTGTGCAGCTCAGGTTTTAATGGTTGACTTTTTAGGTACTTCCAGCTCTCATGAGATCTGGTGCACCTGGTTGTGTAGAAACTCTGCTCTGGGCCCAAGTCTTTTCATCAAACTGCACCCCATATGCAATTCTGTATTCCTGAACCAGTCTCCTCTGAGTGGTCCTGTGCTGACTGGGGGAGCAGATCAGCTGTCCTTGCTATGCCCCTCTCCCGGTGGGACTGTCTCCCCCACTGCCATTGCTCCAAACACTTCGTATGCAATGGGCCATGCTCAGGTCCCTTGCAGTGACTCACCAGCCTCTGAGTGGCTCCGATTTTTCATTTGTTGTGGCTCCTCAGTCCTGTGTGGGTCCACAGGAACCCTATTAGTGGTCTTCCTGGCCTGAGGGCCACCAAGGCCCTCTTCTACCTTGCCACCTCCAAGCAACTTCATCCGGAGGGCACAGCTGTGGCTTTTTGCCAGCCCCTGCTCCATGCACTCACCAGCTCCAGCCTGGAAGTGGCCAGGGCTAGAAGTGGTCAGAGTGGTTTTTTCTTTCTCTCATCATGGATTCTCCCACCTTCATGCACTCCATAGGTCTCTTCTCCTCTTCCCCTGAGCTCTAGTGGCCCCAGTTTGGCTGTCATTGCTGTTTTACGGTTGTAAATTGGTTGATTTGTGGGAGAGAGTGATGCTGGGGACCGTCTATTTTGCCATCTTGACTGGAAGTCTCGAATCTATATTAAAATTAAATTAAGCACAGTATAATTCTTTATATTTACGTTTTACTTTAAAGCCTTTTAAAGTGTGTTCACCTCTATATCACTTAAGCCTCACAATGTCTCTTCATATGGAAGGAAATGCTTCTCAATTTATAGATGAGAATATTGGTCCCAGAGTAGTTTGTTGATTTGAATATTATGTAGCTAGTAAATTATAGAATTAGGTTCTTAAATCACATATCCTTGTTTTTACCATTTAATGTAGCAATTTAAATATACAGGTCAGAATCTTGTCTGATCTTGTCATTTCCTAGTCTGACTATAATTTATTTCCAAGTCTCTGACTATATATTATGTTCCTGCTAAACAAAGCTGCTCCTGGTTCATTGAACATGCTCTGTGTTCTTCTGCAATTTCTTCTTCCTTTCTTTGAAAGGTCTACCCCATCCGTTATTTCTGTGAAACTTTTCCTGATTCTTTTTCTAATTTAGTTTCTTAGTAATTTAGTTTCTTAAGTAAGTTTCTTTCTGTTAATCAGGTCTCCACCCAGACTTGTATTTTAATTAGCACTTTCATATTTATTTTTTGTTGGTGGCTCTCTTCTTGTTTTTAAGCAGAACATTTCTAGATTTCAGTTTACTGTACTGATTAATTGCCTGTTCCTAAATATCTCTAATACTTAATCTATTTTTCTCTTGAATGATCTTATTTACTTTCTACATTTCTTGTCTTCTGGCTCATAGCCATGGTATTAAGATTCTCCAGAGGGACAGAACCAATAGGATATGTATATAAATATTTGAGAGGGGATTTGTTAGGGAAATTGGCTGGTGCAATTGTGAAGGCTGAAGAATCTCATGATAGGCCATCTGCAAACACACACACACACATATATATATGCAGAGAGAGAGAGAGAGAGAGAAGACCTTTGTGAAGGAATCCAATGAGGAGACCTCAGGCTTAGTCCAAGTCCGAAGGCCCCAGAACCAGAGAAGTCCTGGAATCCAAAAGCTGAAGAGTCTCTAGTCCTCATGTCCATGGACAGGAGATTAGAGTGTATCACAGCTCCAGTGGATAGAGAGAGCACTTCACCTTTTCCTCTTTTTTGTTCTCTTCGTGCCCTTAGCAGATTGGAAGGGTCCCATCCATACTGAGGGCAGATCTTTCCCATGTAGTTCACTCAGGTTCACATGCTAATCTTTTCTGGAAACACCATCATGGACACACCCAAAAAGATAGCTTTACTAGGTTTCTAGGTATTCCTTAATCTAGTCATGTTGACACCTGGAATTAACCATCATAGCCACCAAGTTCTAAATATCTCTTGACTCTCTCTCCACTTATACTGTCACCACTAGTTTAAACTACCGTTATCTTACCTGGACTGCCACAAACTTCTTATAACTTGACTCCCTTTCTTTAGCCATTTTTACTTTCTTATTATCTGTTCTGATATTTGAAAGCAGCAGAGGACCAGCCCACAGTAAGAGTAAAGAAATAGTTGTGAATGTATCAGTAGACACTGATGTCCACTGTCTTCCCTATCCCTACAGTCAAGTATTTGTGTGGTAGGAGACTGCAGAAGGATTGCACATAAAACATTTGGTGTTAGGGTATCAGGTTCTTCTGTAGACTACTGGGCATCCCAACTTCCTTCTAGTATTCATTCCTTTCCTCCTTCCTTTCTTTCCTCTCTCCCTTCTTGCCTCCTTCCCCCCCCCCCCCCCCCCCCCGCCCCCCCCCCCCCCCCGACCCCCCCCCCCCCCAGCCACTCTCGATCCTTGCTATTGCTCGAACATGCCAAGCTTGCTCCTGTCTCATGGCATGTGCTTTGCTCTACCTCTACCTGGAATGTTCTTCGTCCAGAGATCAGCATGGCTCACCCCACCACCTCCTGCCAGTGTTTGCCTAAATGTCACCTTCTCACTGAGCCACCTGATTTAAATTGCAGCCTTCCTCCCCATCACTTCCTATCCTGTGTTCTTGCTTTGTTTTTCTTCATTACACTTACCGCTTTCTAAATTAATATACAACATACTTGCTAGTTTTGTTTATTGTCTGCTCTCCAAGAGGGCAGAGATTTTTGTCAGTTGCTCACTGCTCTATCCTATTGGCCTAATACAGTGCCTGGCAGATAATTGATGCTTAATAAATATTTGCTGGAAGAAACAAAGGGAAGGGAGTCTTCTTATCAGGAAGTAGCATTAGTGTATTAGTTCTTGCAGAATTTAGTAATAATGTTACTACTATTGTACTCTAGTTCTTGCATATACATCACATTTTTATTTGGTTTTTTTTTGCACTGGCTGGTACAGGGATCTGTATGTACCCTTGACCTCGGTTTTATAACACTGCACTCTAACCAGCTGAGCTAACTAGCCAGCCCACCTCTTATTTGAGTTTTAGAACATAGGTCTCACCTTTAAAGAAAATATTGCCTTCTCCAAAGGGCACTGAGGTTCTGAGAATGAAAAGAGCTCCTATTTAAATTTAATTATGGAAAATTCCTACACTTATACAAAATGGAGAATAATACTTGTATAATGAAACACCGTGTACCTGTTACCCAGCTTCAGTATGGCTAATCTTGTTTCCTATAAACCAACCTTACTTCCTCTCTGCTCCCTTCCAGCTACTTTGAAACAAATGCTATTGTTTTATATGTAAATACTTCAGTTAAAATGACTTTTTCAGAGGCACAAAGGTAGCTATTGACAGAGTCATAACTTGAGTCCAGGAGAGCATCACTGTTGTACATATAATACAGCCCTTGCTTGTTAAACATTGAGCTTGACTGTCCAGGCTGTAGTGACATTATATAAAAATTATATAAATTATTTAAAAATACATATGTAGTGACATTAATATTCGGAAGTCACACATCATTTAAAAAAAAAATCCTAGTTTTGGTTTATTGAATAAATGATGTTAATAGAGCAGAATACTAAGGAGAATCACCCCCAATCCTATTACTTTAACATAAAAGTTATTTTCATTATTTTATAGTGGTGTTTTTTTAATAGTTTTTTATAGTTCTAATGTCTGTCTCATTCATCTGTGTGAACACTTTTAGTCCAACTACTTATTTCTTTTATTTAGAATATATTAGTTCTTGTTTCTTAAGGGGCACCCCCCCCCCCCCCC